CCTGATTGCATCCAAATAGCTCAGAATTGGAAGCCCTGAGTCTGGCCCAGAGGTCCAGTCTCATATTTCTTGAAGTCCTCAGTTCCATGGCTCTCAGGACCCTCTAATATAGAATATTTTGAGTGTATAACTTTTATTAATGAGCTCGGTAGACATATTTCTGGCCTAAATACGAGGGTGCAAAAGTGTTGACAGATAAACACAACTTTTATTGTATTACTTTCTGCTTTTACATTTCCAGCAAAGTTCGAAAACTAAAAAATTACTATAATTTAAATGCCAACAAATTCACACACACACACATCCATTAAGTCTTTTCACACACTGGTACTAATAAACATTAAATACATGTTTATGATTTTCATAAAAATATAAACTAATCTTATTTTAGTTTCATAAAGCATTGAGAGGAGAAGAAATACACTCAGCTACACACCTGTCAGGTCATGGATTTTGTCTTTAGCTGCATCTGTGCCGTCCCACTCATGAAATCCACGAGTGCACTTGAGGTTCTCCTGTACGCGGGTACAGTATCTGGTTCCATGCACTGGTCTTTTGTCTATGTGTGTCCAATGCAGGGTTCTCTGTAGAAAGATGTCTAGGTACTAGCCTCAGTACTAGTCATGTAACATAGCATGGACAACATTACATGATATGCATGAGCTCCTGGGCCAGTGCACGGCATGTAAACTTATCTGTTCAGAAAAATTGACTTGAATCTGTCAATGTACATGCACTTTCTCAGTTTTCTGCTTTGGGATCAGCTGGCCTGAGATGTTGTGATCAGCAGGTGCTACTGGAGTCTGTACAGGTACCTGCATCTTATATTCCTTGTTTTCCCTCTTGTCGTCCCCTCCTGTGATCAGAACGGGTTCATTACACTTCTTCCCATCCTCAAAATGGCAAGCACACATTCTGTTGAATTTACCTGGTTTCCATGGGACGCTGTCATGCCTGTACATGTATTTCATAGAATAAAAACCAAATTAAGGGATAATTTAGAAAGCATGTGAGAAATGATGACCGAATGTCTAATGTCAACTGAGTTTTTATTTTAGTTGGATTGAAAATGCCAATAACTTGATAATTAAAGGTTGATTGACCGATCACTTAAAAGTTGTGCAATCATAAGTAGTGGCATCCATCAGAACTCAGCAACTGTCCCTACTGAAACTTACACGTAAGTCCTAACATCACTTCTGACCCAAAATACTTCATTATTTTTAAGAATAAGAGAAAGACACAACATCATAAAATCTGAGTTCCAATAGTAACTTCTAGCAAGTGTATAAAACACCATTTCTATTAGGTCACGTTATTGCTTTCTGACTACTGAAGTGAAGAGCTTCTGGTGGCCGTAGGCCTATATCACGGAACATAGACCTAGGCCTACTGTACCACCAAAACTTTGGGTCCAACGTCCGCCCTGCTCCGAACGTGGGAGCAGTGCAGACTTCAGACCCCACAGTTCTGGGGGTAGGCTTGGCCTATATGAAACTCTTCCCGCTTAAATAATAATACTAAAGCCTACGCTGCTACTAACCTGCGATGACCCAACCTTCCCAAGCCGGTGACCTATAGTTGCATTTGCCTACTTCAAAGGGAGACAGGTTTTGTGAGAACACCCACGCATCATGGCGCATTTTTGCTTCGTTCACCATGAACATCAAGATGATTCAGCCATTCTCTCGCCTTCTCCAAAGCTGAATGAAAGACCTTGCTAGATAGCCTAGAGCCTGAGAATGCATGCACGGACAGTATAATTTTTTAAGAGCTCAAACTTGGTACATGTACACGTACATGTACTTCAGCATGAAAGCAAGGCGGGAATGCATGCTACTAGTGTCCCAGTGCGTTGCGATCGCTCGCGTCAGTCACGGACCATTTACCCATGTGTAACCGCGAGCAGCCCCAGTGCAAATACATGTGCGTCCTTGGTTCCATGTGCGTTACGGATTGTTATAACCCCTGCAGCTCGCAGGCGCTCTCGACTTTTTTGAAAAAAATTGCGACCACGACACGCATTATATTGCAGCATGCAACATGTACAGTGCAGCCGTGATTATGCCGAAACGACGCGCCGACGCGGTGCTTATATCTAATTGTTTTGACGAATAAATCTTCATTTATCAATTTCAAGGAGAAACAAAGTTTTAATGAGGCAAAATTCCCTAATTTTGTGGTACACTTTTCTTAGAATGTATAGGATGAAATATCTTGAGCAGCATATTTTTAGAAAGGGTGTACCCTGACTTAAAATACAACAAGAAAACAAAGTGGTAGACAGGAATATATATTTTATTATTAGAGAAAGCATTTTCACGCTCTGGATACATGTTATAGGCAACAGAGTGCTGTGCGGTTCAGGGTAGTAGCCTATGCTGGTCCGGCAGACATAGCTGTGTGGCTAGCTGGCGGAGCCTTAGCAGCCCACTCCCGCTACGGTCAGGCCACCTGGCGGAACTTCCACCATGTGGTCAGTTGTTAAACTTCACGCGTGTGCCTTGCCTGGTGGTAAACAGTTCGATACTCTTAAATCTTAAGTTGCAATACCGTACGCTACCATGTATCAGCGGATGCCACCCTTGCTATTTATTCTACTGTGTATAATCAAAGGAAGAAGTTGTGAATAAACCAGAGTCTTACTGTCAGCCGAAAGTCCCGCTTCCTGCCTTGATTTTCATTGTTGATCCTAGGATTAATTTATCCCAAAACTGGGGGAACGCGACAATGTATACAAGGTAATTGTATTGCATGAAGACCACGTGCCTGTATAATTCAGTTTTAATTATTTACTTATTTGTTTATGGTACTGCTTTGCAATTGTATTTGGATTCGGACTAAGCTATTTGGACTCAGCCCAGTACTTGGCTTCGGAGATTTGTACTCGGACTGGTCACGAGTGTACTTGGACTTGGCCCCTAAAGTATTCGGAGTGATCTGTACTCGGATTTGAGAACTCAACTCCAACACTGCCAAAAAGCCTCAACTGAGTTTACTTAAATTGAAATCTTCAAGGCTTATATTTTATGATACTGATCGTGTCGAGTCTGGGGGAAAATTACACCTGTTTCTGGACTTTAACATTAACCGTTTTCGACAATGACATCAAAGTATAACATGCATCACACTTAATCTAAATCTTGTGAATGAACAAATGGGGTCGCCCTATACAAAGTATGAAATAAGTCTGGCGGGTCGACATTTATAGAGAGTATGACAAAAACTGGTACACACGTTTAATAATTGGGTAATTTTTATCGCAGATAAAGACAACATCCATTGTCCCTTACATGCAAAAAGGAAAAGAAATCACTGATTGACCTGATAACCTATTAATTCCATCAACCAATCAATCTACATGTAACCTTTGTACATGTAACTACTGTACATGCATTAACAGAACTTTAATGCCACCCGCGGTATTTACAGCTATGAGTACCGGTGTTTCAAAGCAAACAAAGGTTGTATATGCACATGTAAAGCCTTACATTATTGAATGTACAAAGTTGGAAAACAAAATAAGATTTCTATCCTCCAAGTTTCAAATTGACTTTTCATGTTGAGTTGACTTGTCGAGTTGAAAGTTGACATGTGTTATTTGAGTTTCAATTTAACTTTTAGAAGTTTTCCCATTTGACCAGTGAAAGCCCTAAACAGCAAATTATTCAACAATTACATTTATTAAAGCCTGTTTCTGTTAAGCTTTCTTGGAACAGTACCAATATGGACATTGAGCACTTTCTCAATGAGCATGAACCCATACACACTGTACACCTGTGTGAACAATCCTTACAGTCCCAACCCTCCAATTTCACTGATTGCATATTACTAGCCCTAACCCTCCTCAATCCTTCACCTGTTGGAGGACTGAGGAGTGTTAGGGTTAAGGTGTACTTGTACATGAATGGCAGAGTTACAGATTTATCATTATCAGATACGGACTGCAACTTACAAAATGTAATAATTTTGAAAAGGTGTCAAACCTACACGTACATGTACATGTAGCTGTACCAGTACTAGTACACTGTACATGTGATTTTTATAATCATGGAAAGGAAACATTATACAATCCACTCCAAGTGGGAATGAGAGAGGGCTTATTGAAAAAGCAGTGGCAGTCCTTGGGGTATGTCATGCCTCCTGCGCATGTCAGCTTGGACGCACTGAGCATGTGTGAGCAATTTCTACAGGTATTTGAATGATTAAAGCCTTTACTTGAGTTTGGGGAACTAAAACAATAGGAAGTCCATGTACATGTACCCAACAGGAAACATTCATTTTCCTCATGAGCGTGCCTGACTTACTGTACAAGAATTAGGCATCCATCACAAATTGCAGTATGACAGGTGCTTACATGTTGGTTTAACTATCACACCAGAAAAGATACAACATACATGCATATACATTGCACATGTGGTCTGATTCAAATGGCTGTGACTTGGAAACTCAGTGCACTTCACACATTAATTTTCAGGGCACAAAAATAAAGGGTAAACACATGTACCTACCCCACACGAATACAAAGAGCATGTGCATGGTACAGGTACCATCATGTGCTTGATAAACTGAATGCAAATTTATGCCGTACCCAACATGTAAGCACCTGATGCAATATGTACAAAATGTAGTCATGTGGTGGCGGCGACAGATATGTGATAGATTGTAAAAGAGAGCCACTACAGCCCCACGTACGTGTGGGGCTAGAACAAGCCCTCACTGTTCAGGAAGTACGTACATGTACATGTAGGTAGGGGTAGCCAATGGGTTGTAACCAGTGTGTGCATGATCCTAAATGTCACTCTCAGTCATCAGACTGAGTCTATACACACAACGTGACAACACAACGTAGCCTAAAACAAACTTAAGACAACTTGCACTTAGCATGCCTACACAAATTTACCCTCAGAAGCTCGTGTCTTTCTCCTCTAGGTCTATGCAGGTCTACCGGCACCCAAAGTTCGTTTAGCGTCGCGTACGCGTGTCACGCCCACACGTACGCATTCCAGTGCAAAGGTAAAAATCGCGCCCTCTCTCGCCGAAAACTAATTAAGTGGACACAGACTCCGTGGTGGAGTTCGGATGGCCTGTTCTTGACACGGGTTTCTTGTTCTCGCGCTCGAACACGAGCGGGAACACGACTCAAGACACTGTTCTCGGGACAGGGTCACACACCACCTCCTCGTCAGGGTTTACAGGAACACACGAAAAAACTCGTGAGATTTTGATTTTTGAACAGCTGTAAAAAGTAGAGAGATGGCTTCCAAAGCCATAGACAATGGGAAGTTTAGCAAAATTAACATTGATTATTTTCCTTAACACAGAAATGAATGTTCCTGTTAATATAAAAAAGAATTCAGCCCATCCAAACATTAACTCGCGAATAACGTAGCCTACATGGACGCCGCCATGTTGCTTGCCACTAACTGACTAACCGGTTGTTTGTTCCCGGCGTTCGAGCGGCCGACCAACGAACAACAAATCGAGCTGTTCGTTAACATTCGAGAACAAGCCGCCCAAACTCAGCCCAAATTCTGCCAGATTACGGATTCTGGGTCCACTTAATTAGTTTTCGTCGAGAGAGGGCGGGTACTTGTTGTCTGCAAAGCTAAATTTTAAACAAGAATTGATCTTGTGTTCTTGTTTGAATTTAAAAGGTATTGAAGGTCAGTTTCTAGGGAATTAGCCCCACCTTTCCGGTCATTGTTTCAGCAATCGGCAAGTAGGGCACTGATTCTGGCATTACGGAAAAAGTCAGCGATTGTTCCAATACCATTCTCCTCGGTACCCGTGAAATGTTTGGGGAAAATAATTCAGAATGGTTTAATTGCTGAAATTTGGGGTTCTGTTGATAATTATCGGTTTGCATATCGACCACAAATGAATTCCGAAGATGCAGTTATCGCACTGATAAATGGTGGTATTTGCAAACGGCCAGGGCTACTAAGTTGTTTTGTAGCTTTTGCTTGTGCTTTCGCCATTCAGCCGCATCTGATGGTCCAGAAATCGCTGGATCTTAATGTCAGTTCTAACATCATATTGCAGGTCAATGATTTCTTGACAAACAGGGTACAGAAGGCCCATTATATAAGACACATTCCGGCCACTGTGATTATAAAGGACTCGAGAACCTCTGGAGAGATACAGAGTTTAATTAAGTAGGGCCTATTGGGAGTCGATATTGAGAACAATGAAAGTTGTTTCATAAATGTGCTACGTCAAAGTGCAATAAGTTACAGCGACTTTTCTTTTTAAAGAAATTTATATCGTTACAAAATGTTTTATTAGTCTGCTATATGCAAAGTATTCGGACTTAGGCCCTATTGTCTTATTTATGTTTTTGGAAACATGTGAACACTGGACCGAGTTAATTAAACTGGATTGAGTAATTACAAGTGAGTAGCGTAATCAGTATTGACCAATGGCTGTACATGTCTGCTGAATAAGGTTGAAACGATTTGATTAGATGACACCCACCCACTGAAGGAGAAGTGCAAGAAGCAGCGGAGAATTCGAACCTCGCGATTCTTCAAAACATTCGTCCCTTCCGCAGTCCAATTTTTTAACGAGCAGTGTGAGCGATGACTCAGTGATGTCCATGTAAATAATATACTCTGCATATAACAGTGATACACAAGTTTTATTGCAGCTTTTACTAGAAATTATATGGGTTTTTATATGTGTGTGATATTGCTCTTGGATTTATTTTTGGTGTTTGTATTTTTGTGTTTTGTGTTTTATGTGTGTTTCTTGTCAGAAATATTTCATTAATTAACGTTTTATATCAATGTTGTGATTTTTAATTATGACGTGTATCTTAATGTGATTAGTCAATGGAATTTCCTATCAGGGAGAATAAAGTTGAATATTGAATTGAATATAAAGAGGGGAAGCAATTTGAAAAGGCCATACTGATATACATCTTTAGCATGAAAATCGCCCCCGATAGGGTATAATTTTAGCGTGTCACCCCCTCCTGCTTTTCAAATTTCCATGGCTGGGCAAGTCCTTATCTTTCGACCCCCAATCTCCGACACAGATTTACGCCACTGGATTCCTCCTCGAATTCATGTAGGTTTTCCCAGAATAGAACTTACCTTCCTAGGATCTTGTTACCTTCTTAGCAACTTTGTGGGCCTTTTTTACGCCACTCTGTGTCTGATCACAACTTGACGGGTTGGAAAACTATTGTTGAAAAATGTTGAAAAATAATTGATTCCGATAGGCTTAATGCATGGAGTAACACATTAAAAACAATTAAATTCACGACAGATTCCTTTCTGCCTCGATGAACGTCAATCTTGTAGCACAAATTTGCACAAAGTTTGGGGACCTGTGAAATGAAGTCTTTCTGTGACACACTACATTGTACATGCACAGAAACAATTTCCACTTCATAATGTGAAAAGAAACTATGCTGTGAGAATCGCAATTTGTACTATTATGTACGCACATGTACATGTGTGACGATGAAAATGATATACTTTGTTGAAACGGGCCAGAAAAGTTACTGACTTGAGTACGGCTACACCGAGATGTCTATTTCAAACCAATATTGGTAGAAACGATCATATTTGAAAAAGTATACACATGCATGTACACGTATTGTTCTTTTAAAACCAGTTCCATTGCTCAAATCACAGAGTGTCAGCTCTTGGGAAAGACCAGATTTTGTTTTCTTTAAATCTCCCATGATCTGTTCTCCATTACAACTGATGTCTTGCAACTTTTCATTCAAAGAGAAGTTTAAAATTGACAATCAATCGCTATTTAGACCAACACTTCAAGCTAAGTCTAGGTTGGTTTTTATGGCAATAAATATCCCTGTGTTCACTGACCTTTGAGGACTGGCCTTTCACTCTCGGTTGGAGCAAATGCTCTATAATGAATGGACCTTATTTTACGGGGAGCATTTTCCTATCTTCTGTTTCTTGAATCTGTCATGTTCAATATAATATATTAAATGGGTTGGTGTTAGACCATTTGGGTTTCCAAAGCTCCAAGCCTCATTTTTTTCAGTGTGGCTTAAAACATTGAGATACCATTGGATACCAGTACCTCATTAACAGAAAGGCCAAACTTTACTATGTTGACTTGCAAGGATTAACTGATTTCCTTTGCATCTCAAAAAATATATAAAAATATAAAATATATATAAAATATATATATATATAATATAAAAATAGTTTTCTTCGTTTGAACTTTTTTATTATGGCGTTTGTACAAAGGCGTATTTTATGAGATTTCACGATCACTCCCTGTGATGAAATAGCGCATTTTGTTCCTAATGAACTTAGCTTTCCAGTTGTAGTGAACATTTTGTTGGCCAGTCTTAGCCAAACTCGTACCAAGTCTTTGAACACTGATGTATTGGACGAAGGAGAATAAAATTACAAACTTTGCATGGATAATGGAACAGTGTATCAAAATTTAAAAAGTTTATTTACGATGGCAATTCGCAAAAAGTAGGTCTAATATCAGGAAATTTTCTCTCTTATTCCTGGTCACATAGATAATTTGCATTTAATTGCAAGCAAAAAAATACAAGTATTGCTACGATATTACTGGTCCAGGTTACTGGCAGTATCAGGCATTTTGGAATGTTTTTTGTATTATTCATCTGACTCGGCGGCGACCGCCATTGAACACTTTGAAGTGCCTGAGTTCCAACTCCTTCTGTGTCCTTCCTCCATGGAAAAATTAAGGATCACAGAAAGAAAAAATGAAAAATTAATCCACTATCAAGTATGGAAACAGCTCTAATCAATTTTTATCATGACAAGTATGAGGGTGATGCTAAACGTACGTCAAAATAATTTCAACATAAGGTCTCAACCATACCCTCGTTCACATATTTTCTGGCATTGGAATTCACGCAAAATTTTAAGAGAGGCTGTATACATGTATCTTCGCCAACTCATGCTGTCCCCTCGGTTGACAGGATTACCACACATTATTAGTAGGATTCGCTAGTGGCTGGAGGTAAAATGCAGGCGAACACTTGTCAGACGTCGGTCGATGTTTGATGTAGGTCTCTTTTGTTCGTATGCATCGGCAACTGTTGGTTTTACTCTCCTGAGCCGTAGACCTCCTTGGCAGTTTTTTTAAACATATTCTTCGTATCTAAGAAATCTGTTCCCATGATTTTCGGTGTGGAGAGGCAGTTGGGAATTAACAAAGCGGAGTGCAGGTGTTCTTTTCCTGCTCAGAGTGCAAAGTGCAGACCGATCAATAAAGCATTGTGTCCACCATTTTTTTCGGGTGTGTCAGTGCCAAGGGTTCCTCTGGACCGCAGCTCAGCTTCCTCCTCGTCAGTGATGACTTCTGCCTGCTTTCGTGGTGCCCTCTTGCCAACGGCTGACAACTCCATCATGCGGGAGTCGAGAGTGTTTTCGAGAGGTTTGAAAATTTCCTCATTAACGAATTTCATACTTCTACCCTTCATTGCCAGATAGAGTTGCAAGGAAATGATGAGCTCGTACAGTGTTTCGGCTGGGTAGTCCTGTCCCTTTTCCTTCTTAGCCGCCATGACGAAGCAACAGAGTAACAGATTTCGTCTTTGGACATCTCAACTAATGCTACACGTATTGGAGTGGTGTTTAGCTCTTAGGTGTATAACGGCTGATCTACTTCTCTCCGCTTTCTACACATCAAAAGGCCCAACGGCCCATACACACTTCTGCCCGGTAGCTGGTGAAAACATATTTGAAATACAAATGTAGAAAACTTTACAAATAACGTGCTAATACACCGTGTTATGAACTCGAGTTTCGAAGTCATCAAACATGTCCCCGTGCAACAAACCGTGCCAAATGTTGAAATAACAAAAAATATGGTCTTGTTACCTTCTCTTGCGTTTTGCCATCATTTCCTGGTCGGTTACTGGGGTCCAGAATCGGCTGGGGCCTTCCAAATTAGAGAGTATTCGAGGTTGTTTCGCCACTGATTTTGCCACTTCTAACTTTTCGCTAGTAGCATGTATTTCATCATCAGATACGTCCAGAAATATCGGGTATTAGTTTGAGTCATTACTTGAGGGTGACTCAACATTATCTTGAAATGAAGTTTGAGTCAGATATAAGGACAAATCGTCATCACTGGAATACATTATGGTGGAGCTGGCACTGACCGACAAGAAGGGCGGAGCAGAAGGAAGATAGTTTGTTCGACAACAAATGACCTGCATGCTCAAGGCACTGGGCATTTAAACCCCACTTTTAATTCACTCGCAAGAACTGAACCTTTTAGTCCTTTGTTTCATTACGCAATAAGGAGACCAGAGCAGAGTTTTCCCGTAGGTACCAGGTACTATACCCAACGTTTCATTCATGTCATGCCTCAACGAATTAGTAAGAATGTGCAGTTTTTGTATTCCAAATGGGTGTGTAAGGGTCGCGGTTTAAGTCGGAGAAACGACTCCCGTCCTCGCCCATTTGAATCAAAGAATGTCCACTTTTTCGTTGTTTCTCCTTAACTGAGCGGTTTCAGCAATCATCGCGCTGTCACGGTACACAGTTCCCAGTGAATCGACGCTAACCTGCAGATGGATTGCGCGGTCCCTTTTCGTCTTAAAATCTATCGAAAGGGATTATGCACGGAGGCAAAGAACGTGTCTGCATCGGTACAGGGTACTTCATCATTGTTCTGTATCAATGGCAGAGCGACTCTTTGCCAATTGTCTATAAATTTTAGAATCAGAAGCCAATTCAGGGTTGCTTCAGGAGATCTTGCTTTGATAGATTTTCCAGACATGAAGTCCAGGATACCGTAAAGACATAGAGTAGTGTGCCGTTGCTAAGTCATCATCTGTCAAAATGGTGATGATGTTGGGAGAAGTTCTGGTTCGCCAGACACACTCCCCAGCCAGTTGTCAGGCAAGTTTCTAAAGGCAGCATTTGTCGTGGTCAAGACAAGTTGCCAGGCTGCCTCTTTTCATCACCGTCAGTTCAGTACCGCCGTTGATTATGAGGCATATTTGCACTCTGGCTGTCTGGCTGGCAGTTCGACGTGCTCGTGTTTGACCCGCATATCCTTGGAAATATATCAGCTATCAAAATGAGTCCGATGCAGCAATTTGAAACTTGCGTAGTGAACTCTCATCCTTTTCTCGCCATTACAATTCCAGGGCTGCGCAGAAGGTAATTGTAGTATTTTATGCCATGGAATTTTATCCTGTTCCTGCAACCTATTAACTTCTCACGGAAACCATCCCAATGTCGGCCTATTTCTTCTATACACACGACAGGTTATGGTTCGACACAAGACGACATTTTGGGCAAAGGTTGCATTGAAGCTGATGTGGTTTATTGGACATGCATGATTACTGCATGATTACTAGATCTCATTGCATTTTTATACATACATGTAATGGACATGAATTCAGTTTTTCCACAATCATAAAAGTTTCCGTGTCTTATTCGGATGCTAACTAATTGTTTGAATATTAAAACAACATGGGTGAGCGTGTTTGATTCATTCTGATTTGACGGTTGGGCTGGGCAAATTTAAAAATGGCTTTTCCTTATAAGGCCGGCGGACTGCCTCAACCGTCACAACACTAGCATTATAACGTTACTCAGTGTAAGCTGTAACGTTTAAACTTATTACCGGATTACTCAACTGCAAGAAGCCTGATAAAACTGGTATCAATTGAACTTTGCGTACAAAATACGACATCTCAATGTACAATTACACATGTTAATGATAATGTGCTGCTTACCAAATCAGTTTTGTCCCATTTCGGTTGCAAATTTACGGTTAAAACTTCAACAAAATTCCCACTAAAGGTACCAGCAAAGTCATAATTTGCAGCATGCGCGTGAACAATAAGACTTGTTCCCCGTCCTATACTTATTCTCCACGCATCTTGCAGACTTTCTCCGGACGCAGGGACTGGTACCGAGTATAATGCATCCCATATCTTGTCGGGTGAATGTAAATTGAGGAAACGATGCACGCTCCATGCACAAATCATAACATATTCTGTTCTTTCTTCTTCGTTTCCGAACTTCATCATAAGTTGTTCATTGGTATAAAGTTAAACACAGTGACACAGTGACTACTGGTTTGAAATAAATTGTTGTAAATGATTTATCTATGAAAATAAATGAGTACAATGTGATCAATAGAGGTTTGACAAGGAAAGGTACTTGTGTTTGATTTGCCTCCCCGTTGATACGTATTTTGTGTTCAGGCTTTGCCATCGGCCTGACAAAACATTCAGCATCCAAACTGACAGGGCTAATCCACCCCATTAAACTGCAGCTAGCTACCGGTCGCTATAGGGACTGGGACCAGTCCAGTAAACATTTTTTACAAGTCTGTGCACCCAAACCTATTTCAAAGTCCTAGCACATCCTGTCTGGACCGCACCAGACCGATCAAATTGGTCAATCTTTCAAAAGTATGCTTATTTCACGTGATAAACAATTTTGTTTAATTTTTTGATTAAAAAACAATAACAATATAAAATTATTGCGTTTTTAAATGTTATGTGTGTATCCAATGGTTTCATATAACAATCTGCAATAAAATTTCAACTTTACAATATAAATGTTTCAAAAAACGCAAAATCTCTTTGAAGTATGATCAAAATGAAGAAAATTGTCACTTCTATCTCTAAATGCCCAAACGTTATTAAAGATCATCGTGCAGAATCTGATTGTCTATGATCTACACCATAGAAATCTGTCAAACATATTATATACCCTCCAAAAAAGATTTCAAGAAGAAAGTGGCGTTTGGTTGATGGACTGATTCAGCAACTACAAATGAATACATTTTGAAATTTGAATGCAGTTGAAATTTGTGTACGCGTGGAAGCCACTCCATTATGGAGATGTGCAGTTTCTACACAGAATCTCAATGTATATGCCATTTTAAAGGTTACGTTATGCTCACGCTGAGGAGCCTAGCTATTCTCACAAGTATGATGTATCATTACTACAGTAATCTGCCTGTTACTCATTCTTTCACGTAAGTAAATATTTATGTCGCAAAGTAAGGATAAACTAAAATGCTTGACTTTCAGGAGCTACTCGCACATGCAACTCAATTGGTTTATCATGCTAAGCCCTGAAGCGATAAATAGTGCAGTCTACACACTTCATTTATCACACCTAAGTCATTCACAGAATTATATCATACGTGTATATACTTTTGGTTACATCCTTTTTAATATTTTAATTATGTGACGTAACTTGAAAAGTGAAGTGTCACTTGTCCGATTTGAGCTTCATCACGTACGCGTACCAAATACACCCCCACGGAATTGACAGTATACTATTTCAACAGCCAGAGCCCTGAACAGCTGAATCATGTCAAAGTCAGTGAACTTATTGAAAACATAAACCCGTGAAGACATGTACTTTCATTCCAAGAAAATTTCAAACAAATGTCTCAAAAACGACACAGAAAAGCTCTTAAAGTCTAAAATAAAAGTGAAACCTTTGACGATAAGGGGGAAATGATCAGTTTTGAAGTTAGGAGGAAATCCTGGAAAAAACATAAAACATACAGCTGAACCAGTCTTGGGCCAAGAGCCAGGGTGGGATTTGAACCCAAGTCACAGATGGCAAGAGAGAGTCAGTGAGTACTCTTCACCAGTAATGGTGAATGACGATCTTGGGCACTTGAATTTCCTCCTTCTCCTCATACCGGAAGTAAGAGACAAATACCAGTTTGGTGGTACTCATCCAAGCATGCAGAGGATTGACATTGTCAAGCCCAGCAAAAAGTTCTTGCATCATGGGTCTCACCTCTCTGACCAGCTTGAAGCCGCCTGCACTACTGAGTATGAACAAGAACATTCTTCCATCACAACACTCACCTCCGATGATTTTGTTGCCGTGGAGGCAGGGTACAATCAACCTCAAGTGGTCTTCAAAGTCATCAGCCACTTTGAAGCTTTTTGTATCACCATAGTAGCTCCCGTCTAAGCCAAACATGCCCAGCATTCCATATTTTGATCGACCAACAATAAATGCGTTATTCGGATCAAAGTGATACAACATCCGCCCGCAGACTTTGCTTATTTCGTTTGCTTTATCGAAAAAGCGGACACTGGGACAGTCAAAAGCCTCTATGAGCTGCCCTGATGACAATTTCCACATTTTCATGACAGGTTCATTTGTTTTGTTGGTACCGATGACAATTCCGTCACCAAGATGGCACGACACCAAACAGTTCAACCCTGTGTTGATTGTATGCTGGCGCGAGCCACTTTGGGCATCCCACAAGCAAATTATTTTGGCTTCGTACGCAGCAGCTACTATCTTGTCACGATAGTCAACATGAATAAGGGGGGACCGTCCCGAGCCATAACGAAGACGAAAATTGGAGGTATCTTCAGACCCAAAGACCTTAATTTCATTTCCTACCTTTTCTATCATATCAGAGGTCCGTGGCTCCCCCCAACGAGTAAGATAGGCTCGTATGTCACCTCCAACACTGCCATCGGCTCCACTGTCACCTCCTTCCTCATCACCACCATCATCGTCATCACCATCTTCACCCTTACTTTCCTCTTCATCACCGCTATCATCATATGTATAACGATCGTTTTCGGGATGGGCCGTGCTGACAATTATTTCCCCGTCAAAGAGGACATGGGTTACTTCCCGGTAAAAATTTCCCAACACTCGCTGCTTCTCTCCGGTCTGGGCAGAGAAGGTTCGGACCCGGCCATCCCAGCATCCAACTGCTACAATGCCACTCTTAACCATCAAGGAATTCGGGCTCCCACTAGAGAAACCATCTAGTGTGATGGTGTGCTGACAATCCCCCGTTGACATGTCCCAGATTTTCAGGGTGTTATTTGAGAGACTCCCAGCCAGACAGGCTCCTTCAGCGTCCAAAGCGGCCACTACTAATCCCTCGGTTTTGTTTGGATCCAGCAACTCAGACTCAGCAGGATTCTCCCAATATTCGTGACAGCCAGCTGCTCCGAACTCAAAGGAGACAGTGTGGCAACAGTTGTTGATCCAGTTGGCCTCGAGATGCTGCGCTCTCATGTACACTTCCTTCCATTTGCAAGTCTGGATCAATGTAGATGAATCAGAATCAGTTACGACCATTTCTATCGGGAAGGCAACGCTAGTGTTGCCCGCAGGCAAAGCAGTCGACACCTCCTTGCAAAGATCTTCTGTGGTACCAAAGCGCTCCCATCTCCTACGCCGGCAAAGAGGGCGCCAGAGAGCATCCTGATTGGCCACATCTCTCCAGGATCGATTACAAAGCGCCATATGGCACAGATCTCGGGCTGAGAGATACTGGAGTATGACATGATGCAGTTCTGTTGGCAATGCCACTAAATTGCCAGATAATGACGAAGACTCCATCACTACAGGAGCTGTGTTTGGAAAACAGAAAAGAAAAGTCAGAGAACAATGTACATTCGGACTTTAAAGATTTGTATTGACAAGCTGTACCATCTTTAACTTCAGTTATTAAGATAAAGTCGTTTATTGACACTTCTCACAGTAGCAAGGCCATGTGTTCTAAAACACATGTGTGTGCACCCATGTTTACGTTACACACATACTGTGGACATTCCTTTGTTTTCGTGCAGTTAAGAAAACTCAGTGAAAATACTCATTTTTCTTCAACCAGGAACAAGATTTTTGGCTAGTTTTTTGTACAAGGTTTCCTTGACTATTCCTCTTCCTTTTACCACAGATAACCCCTTCCCCCAAATGCCTCTAAACTTCTTTTCCAAAGAGGGGGAAACCTTGTGTGGACATGTGCAAGTCCACACAACGCCATCGTACCCTGCATTATGTGGACTTCTTTTGTGCAGAGGTCCACACTATGTATGCCACGCCTGTACACCTATTTCTAGGGAAAAAAGTGAGGTAAAAAAATGTCACTGCAACACGTTTGGAGCCCTGACCAGAAAGCGGAGACTTCTTGGCGTAATGGGATTTTTAAAAACTTTTACTACGTTTAAAAGACGCTTTTTTCGACTATTAAGTTTAAATACCGCCACCCAGCGAATCAAGTGTCGCTTGATTTAAAAAAAAAAGATGTTTGAAACATGTCAATTTATCAGGGGTGCTCACATCAGGCCAGAGAGTTGGCTGACCGACTGCCAATTAAGCCAAGAGCACAATTTTCTTGTGGTGAAACAAGCATTGCTACTTCATTGCTGTTTTTCGGTGCAGTGTAAGGAGGGCATTGTGCATCAGGCCTTCAACTGTTCCAAAATTCGATCATGTGTTCTAGATGTACACACTTAAATTGCCATCCCCGATGCAGATGATTGAATTGGAGCATGAAGAAAGTCCACCCATAGCTCCATGATCATGCAGAAGCATAAAGGATTGTTCTGCAGTAATTACATGAATAGTCCAATCGTGTAAGACAGCCATAATTGTCTGGTCTGAATTCCAGAGTCATTCACTCGACAGAGTAATTTTTGACGCATTCATTCGAAGTCTGAATTCAATTTAGAGGTATTCATTCAAAATTCGTCACTGGGAATTCGACTCTCGGTATGAAATTTAGACTTCGAGTGAATAACTGGAAACTGCAGACTTCCAGATTAAACTGAAAATTCCTACTTGGAGTAAATTGCTCTAAATTCAGATTTCCAGTGAAAGACTCGAATGTTTAGACTTTGAGGGAATAACTCGAATATCTAAACCTGTTTATTTATGGGCATACCACCTACGGAAACAACTGTCTACGTATGACTTCTGTACGAGGTTTTTCTTTGAATAGGTATACATGTAAAACAAAAACTAATAGTTTTATGTTATTATTATCTTATTCCATAAAAAAAAACTCAAAAGGGAAATTCATCCATCGATCCATCAATTCCTTTAGTATTTTGTTTTGCTTAAAACATAGGGGGGGATTCGATATTGTGTCCTCCCGTACCAAATTCATGGGAGACATGTCCCCCCGGATTTCCACCCATGCATGGTTTGATTAGGCCTTTTTTCTAACGTATTTTGTGAAACTAAATTGGAATTAGAACCAGAATGGTCAAAACTGGTGATTTTAGCGTAAAACTTGTTTGTTTCACTACAGTATTTACAGGTGTGAACCACAGAATTAGAAGTTTTTCTGAAATTTTAAGCGCGGGCTATAGTGGAGAAAAGTGTGAAGGTTTTTGGTCCCGAGTGGATGGAAGCGTTTGCACATCGATCCAGCTCAGCAACGATTACCTTCATTCCCGCATTAATCGTACGTCGTTGCGAGCGCAATAAATCCAGTGTTTGGGGAATGAAAGACTAACACAAAGGTGCTGTACATTAACTTTACGTGTTAAGTTCATTAATTCAATGAAACCGAGGTCCACTTGCCATTCATACATACATGTACCTGGGGCAGTTTTTCTATTCCTATTGGTCGAAACACGTCACGTGACCGTGTATTAATATTTCGATAATGCCCGTTGAGACAATAGACCTCTTCACTAATAAATTCACAATTATGCATGCGTGTGCACCAATAGCCTTGGCGGCAAGGGCCATTGGAAATGTACGGGGTTGCGATTTCGATCTTTTTCTCTCAGGTTTGAAGCTTTGTTCAGTTTTTCTTTCCTCCAGAAAACCCCATTAAATCATTTTTGCTTGCAGTTTCTAATCGAAGCGGGATTTTTCTCGTGCGCACATGAGAATGTATGAATGCTAAGTTGTTTTACAGAGTACTAAAATCCCGCTTACATAAGAGACTAATAATGCTAATAATGGTAATAAGGGTATTTTCGTCCAGGGTGAACTAAAATTTCAAATGATTGCGTTGAACATCGATTTTTGAATCTGTTTTGCAAACTTGTTCATGATTGAGTCGGATTGTTTGACTTAACTAGGTTTTTATTTTTATGACAGGGATCGGTCTGAAAGGGAACGTTCAGCGTCCAGGATGCACTACACCGCACAAGAGTGCATGATACGGATTTGGCAGTAAGGATGTGTGCACACATGTGTTCATCCAAGTGTGATAATACGGTCAAGCAGTACTTTGGGAGCTTCAAAAGATGGTAGAGCTTTTGCGTCAAGTGCGGCTATTCTGCTATACCAGCCGAGCCTATTCAATCTACGCAACTCAGCTTCTGGACACAGGTAGTTCACATCATGTTATATCGTCGGCTATATACGCCATCAGGTGGGCACACCAAATGAATGGGCTAGACGAACTCTTGCACTGATAACTCATTCGTTAGAAACCTTCACGAAGCAGCTAAACGTGTGACGGGTAGAAAGGCGGTGAAGAAAGACGCGATTACCCCAGATTTAATCATCCAGCTCTGCGACAAATCGCTGACAATCAGGATTTGTTGGTATTAAGAGATGTATGTATGATCATAACAACTGCTTTTGTTGGGTTTTTGCGTTTCGATGAGCTCAGCGCCATAAGATGTCGTGATTTATCGTTTTCAGATCATTATTTTTAAATTGTACTACAAAGGAGCAAAGTAGATCAATATAAGTCGGGTCAGGAGGTGATAATTTCTAAGGGCACGACATCGGCTTGTCCCTACACTATGTTGGTTAAATATATATCCGTAGTGGGTATGACTACTGAAACATATATACGTTTTTCTATTCCGGCCCGTGTTTAGGTCTAATATAGTTTGTAGATTAATCTATAAGGATAAGAAATTAAGCTACACGCGAGCCCGAGAATGCATTTTGAAATTATTGCATACAGAGGCACCTTCGCTTAACTTGGGCTTGCATTCACTAAGGAGGGGCGGTGCAACCGCTGCAGCCAAAAGTCAGGTGGCAGACCGATGTCTGAAGAGGCACTGAAGGTGGAAAAGGGACGAGGGTACGGACGGGTATATCGAAGTTTCATTAGAGAAGAGGCTGGAAATCACGCCGAAGTTGGACTTATAGGTTAAATTAAGTTCTGTATACAATTTGCCCTATTTTGCTGATAATGTTCTAACTTTAAATTTAAGGTGGCTTTCAAGATTCATCTGTAAAGGGATTAGAAATCACACAAACGTTGTGCTTGTAGGTTAGGTTAGCTTGTATTTACAATTTGTTCTAAAGTTATATGTGTTTTAAACTCTAAGCGAGCTCTTGCTTTGTTAGTGTTCTAACGTCTCTGCGTGCTTCGCTATCGCCATACCCAAGTGTGTGTATGATTAACCCTAACACGCCTCAATCCTCCAACAGGTGAAGGATTGAGGAGTGTTAGGGTTAATAATTTGTTTTGAGTGGCAGTAAGGATAAAACGATACATTTTGGTCCTAATACATATATTGGCATGATTTGAAATAAGGTACCCAAGACAAAGGAGGTTTTTTGTAAGAGCTGTCAGTGTATGTATAGTCAATTCTTGCGCATGGTCATGTGCTGGATAATACATGTATGTAACTTTGTATAATGCAAGGGGGGGGGGTTATCTTTGTATAGGGTCCCACACATACATTGCTAAAGTCTATGGGGTTTATTCACACATCGTTTTATGTCAAGGCATATCTTTTGAATATGTCAGTTTCCTAAATCAGTGAATTTACATTGATAGTGGATAGTTCAGTGGTTCACTCGCAGTAACAAGATATTTGGCAGATTCCAAACCTGAGGACTGGTGGTGAACGGACTCAAGCCGTCACATAGACTGGTCGCAGATCCCAGACACAGTTTCAGCTGAATCCTGACTACTGAACTGAAATTGGAGGAAGCGGAACTGCTTATCCTTTTGAGAAACTTCTGACTCTGGCTGTAAGAAGGGGCTGAAGTTGGCCTAAAATCCGAATAATGAATAAATCGCTCATTTATTCATTATTTGTTCGAACTAGAGTTTCCTAGATTGAGGAGTTCTTCCTAAATAAAAGAGTTATTTCAAGCTCACTTTTGTGCCCTTAACAGTGAAGCAGTTCCCGTTCTTTTTGTGGGTTTGTATACGGGTTACATTATGAATTAGTGAAGAAGTCTATGGTCGCTGCGTAAACCACGCGCTGGCACATGGATACGAGACAGTTTAATCGGGTCTGATAGACCTTTCCACAACGAATTCACAATTATGCACGCAGGTATAGAAAAGGCCTTGGTGGAAAGAAGTGTGAGGGCCCATCAACAAGGTATAAAGGCGCAATTTTGACGATAATTTTTTCTTAGGTTTTCTGGCTCTGTTTTTTTTCTTCAGAAAATCCCATTTCATTGTTGTTGCTATTACTTTCCCATCAAAGCAGGAATAGTGCTCTGTAAAAAGACCTTGTAATAGTGATTTTCCTTCTTAATTCTGACACTGCCATTTGGAGACGGTACATATCCCCAGTGCCGGTACATGTACTATACAAGTGAACTTTATGCACACCACCACGCCTAATGGACGTCAGTACATTCATCCATTATACAACAAGCCGTTGGTCGTAGTGCAACGTTCATGGCTGGATCGATTTGGTGCAAGTATAATACAACAATTGCGCTCCGCAGATGGTACCTAGACTCATGAATGTCGACCCCTTCCCCCCCCCAAAAAAAAAAATCCAGCTAGATGAAATTGACCGGATTCTGTAGTTTTCAGTCTGGTTTGTCGTAGGCAAGATCTCACTTCTTCGGAAAAATTCTAAAATTGAAAAAAGTAAAACAAAATGTCAGCCGAAAATGAAAATATTCCACTACCTTATACAAACCACTTTGAGGCTAAATTTCACAGTCATGTAGCATTACCAATTACCGCGATTGGCCAACGCGCTAAAAACTCTTGGAGGACAAAGTTTGGGAAGCGCTTGTATTCCGTTTGGTTCACGAAGGTCCGGTCAATTAACCAACGCGCATGGTAAAAATTGTTAATTAGAAGCAAAACACAACTGTAAAAGACCAATCGGAAGTAATATATCCGTCAATGATCATGCGCTGTCCTTGCGGGCTCCTTGTTGGGTACCCCACAAGAATTTAACGAAATAGATTTCTGGAATTTACCCAAGAATGAGGAATTTCCAAGGTATAAATTTTACCTATTGGAAACTGTATTTTGCATATTAGTCGAGAAGATAGGAAACACAAGTGAACCCAGGAAAGATAGCCTGGTTCAAATGGGAGTGATTTTGAAACTCAGGGAATAATTTTAAGAAAAGAATAAAGGACCGGAAATGCCACATAAAAACACAAATATGAGGGTATGTGCAAATGTGGATACGGTACCCTGCATGTATCTTATCATAATGCAATACAGCCATTTGGGTTTAGTCGTAGTTGCCACAGTTACGGTATGGGTAGGTGTTTATTTATTGGCTAACACTGCTCAACTGGGAAAATTACGTTTTTATCCAAATGGACAATGTCATGAATGTGTCAGACGTCATGAAAGTCTACAACCAGCAGCAAATACAACACAACGCAACACAAAATCGATGGAAGCAACTTACTGCAAACTTTCGACATACTCACGTCTGCAGTAGAGATGTCCTCTCATTAATATTCAAATAAGTTGAGATAGGCTGTCTGTTTGGCCTAGGTCCCGTTTCCCACAAACCTATATATAGAAATGCAATTTCTGTGATTTATATGTTAGGCGTGCATTCTCACCGAACATCCCAGTGCAAAGGTGGAAATCACGCTGTCCAAACGGAAATTCAGTTCTGCGCATGCTCAATGATGAAATGCTTCAGACAGCGCCTTTTTGTGCTGGCAGATCACACGTTTCGTCGTTGATAAAAATAGAACAATAAAGTCACATTCTCAAATAATCAATTGTTTAATTACAGTAAACACATTTATATGTGAAAAGTATTCTTCCCCATTTGTAAGACATTTCAAAGAGATAATTAGAACGGACAAATAGTTAAAATGTGAGTTCATTGCCTCAACACCACACTTTCAAAAATTCGAATTTGTTTGCACACACATGTATACCTATTTTACATACAGAGTGTGGACTTTCCTTTGTTCTCCTGTGGTTAAGGAAACTTGAGAACAATGCTCCTTTTTCTCCAACCAGGATAATGATGATTCCCTGGACTGTTCCTCTTCATTTTGCCACAGATAACCCCGACCCCAAAATGCCTCTGAAACTGTTTTTCAGAGAGGGGGAAACATTGTGTGGACGTGTGCGAGTCCACACTACGCCATCGCACCCTACCTTATGTGGACTTCTTTTATGCAGAGGTCCACACTATGTATGCCACGCCTGCACGTGTGGCAGATTAACGTAATGGTACCGCCCACGATCGTGTGTGAGACCCACATTTGACCCCAGGCCAGCCACGGTGAATGAGTAGTCATGAATATTTTCATGGTACGTCCAGAAAATTTCATGTATTGTAGGCTGACAATATTTCTAGGTATGTAGTGTATTTTTCGGAGGTTTCTCGTAAGATTAAACAATGCTAAAAAATTTATTTTAAGGAACTTACGTCATGAGAAGAAGTTTCTAGGAGAACTGTAGACTATAAAAACGGGGGAGACAGAGAGAGAGACACACCCTGCAAGAGGGCGGGCTGTGAGAAGTCTTTGACTTGTTAACTTCTGCACCATTTTAACATGTGGTGGCGAGTCGTCTTTGGAGCGGCACTTGTAAGTTCGTCCAGACCAAGTGAAATGTCGAGCAGAATTTTAATCCTGGAAACACAGTTTGGGAACTAAATTCAGTTCCACTTTGTGGGAGCACAAGTCCCGTATTTGCGACGGTCATCACGCCCTCTCCGTTTCGTCTGGAGGAAGGTCACTCTTTTTGGACGCGGTCTTCGTCCCCATTGCGGCTCAATTTTGCACCGTCATGGACTGAACTGTTTTTCGCCATCTGTGGAGACAAGCGTTCTTCATAATTCACTAGGGTGCCTTGCGAAGTTCTCGCCTGTAAGAACACCTTGTTTATATAAGATATTACTTATCATTGTCAACTTTTTCCAATCAACATTTCCTTACTATTTTCTTAGTGCAACATTCGCATGAAATCATTCTTGTTAGTTGTTCCTTATATCAGTGTTACAATGTATCTCGTTTGACTTCTTTGTTGCATCAGAGAAAATTAAAGCGTTGGAACAATTAATATTCATAAATAGTTTGGAGTTTTTGGATCATAACAAATTTGATGGAACAATATGTCTTCAGTGATTTCTCTCCACACCGAGTTCTCCTACTGCTTTGTACCTAGCCACAATACAGAAAATCTCTCGACGTGCCACCACGGCAACTTAACACTTCTTTCTCAAAATGCAAATTCAAATACAGTGTCCATGAGGTTTGTTTTTTTAAAGGTCACGTGTCGCAATCTAACCAAACAGTATCCATTTTTGCTTCTTAGTATCGAAACACAAATGATGCATCGGGTGTGCGTAATAACGAAACATAACTATACTCTCACTACTGTCGTTTATATCCAAACTGGTGATTACCAATGCCATCTAATTCGAATAATTGCTACGAACAATGAAAGCACGCTAACAATTTACATACGGTCTACGCTTTGTGACGGCAATATGGAGGTCCAAAAGTGAACGTCTGCCTGTCTACTGTCACAAAACAGTTTAAACATTATTGAAATCTCATTTTAAAAAATTATGCTAATATATTTCTGCAGCACAGAAGTCAGATTAATTTTTTACCCTTAAATGACGGTTCAAAAAAGACAGCATGCTTTTTTACGACCAGAAAAGCTGATTGAACACTTTTCTACAAAAGTGTTTTTCCACTTCTCTACTCTCCGAGAGATTGGATTGAACATGTTATCACCGTGATGTCAAAGTGGCCATCTGCCTTCCTGCTATGCGTTACCTCCATTCCATTACCCATAAAATTATGGACCGTGCTCCGCCAACGCCATACTTCAGTCGACGACACACAGTACGGGCGTAAAACCTTGGCAGTGGGGATATACATGCATTCCTCGACCCCACCCCCACGGGCTAGTGAATCATCTCAACTCCTCCCCACTTTTTTTGTGAATTTCTGCGATGTCGAATGACTAAAAGGTATTCAGTATCACTTCAAAAATGGAAAGCAACTTTTAAAGTCATTCTTATGCCATTATGAATACACATTACAGATGTACATCCATGAATTATCACGGACACCGACCGCTATTATAGAGTCATATCCCCCCCCACTTTTCAAATTTTTATGGCCGGGCAAGCCATCCCCCAACCTTTTCCCACCCCCATCACACCAATTTCAGATACAATTTTACGCCATTGACAGACAGGCACAAAGGAGCAGCACTGTGAGAAGTTTTCAAATTGCCTTCGCGCGCAGTGTTGCCGGTATATTTTTTTCCATCGGGTGCTTCTGTCGTTTGTTCATCCCGTTGCGCCAGTGGGCATATTCTAACTATGTATCTGACAAACCATCAATGTAACCTGCTTGGCTGCTGAGTTAGAACAACGTTTTTGCCGAAGATGTCAATCAGCTTAGTTGCTGACAAAAAGTACAAAGCATAATGTCCATTTCTGAACAATCAGTCTGTCAGAAAAAAAAATGAAATCTGATTTTCACGTAGCAAAAAAGCTGGAAAATATATTTAAAAATGCATTTCGGCTAATCGTTCAATGTGCTTTTCTGATAACAGAAGTAACAAACAAGAAATGCCAAAAATCAAAGAATGACAATCAAACATAACTATAAATATATACATGTAGTTGTGGGCCGTGCAGTTACAATTGCATTCTAATGTTTAACAGCTCTGAAAACAAACTATCGGCGATTACTTCTTCGCAAATGTGTCGCGAACGAGTTATCAATCATTAGTAAATGTAGTCATTATGAGCTAAGAAATTTCTTTTCTTACTTACACGGTTATTTCTTTTTATTTTCCAACGAAATAAGCCGAAAATATTGCAAACTTCAGGGTCACCAGTTTTAGAGGTATAATTTTTAAATTAATTTCATAATTTTTAAACAAAGAGAAACTTGAAAGAATTGCAAAACAAGCCAGCAAAATGATCGGTGAACACAAACAACTAAATGAAGCATGCAAGACCAAACTATTGGAGAAAATAAAGGAAATCCTATGTAACGATTCTCAGCCACTCTCCGACTGTTACCAATTCACGCAATCAGGAAAACGACTCAGGTCATTGCCCTCCCCAACCTCACGATTCCTAACATGCCTAAAGTCCTTTGTTCCCACCTCAATGCGCACCTGTAACTCTTACCTCTAAAGTTTCCCTTACAATATTTCCCCCGGCTCACAAATTGCCCATATTCCTGGCGTTCTTTATGAAGAATTTTAATGATCATATTAATTCCTTAATGAATGATATTTATGTATTTTGCTTCATTTTTAAATTTTTTTTTTCAAATACCTGTGCAGTTTTGTAACAAAATGTAAGAAATGTAAAAGCGAACAAAGCAAATTTTCTTCTATGCTTACATATTTGGACAACAAATACGAACTGAACTAAACTGAAATTTAATACAGGCAATTATTCCCCTCTTAAACTTAGGGTATGCGTTGTCTCCACTTACATCAAACCGTCAAATAAACTACAAGAACTAAGCCTTTCCAATGGTAGCAGTCATGTAAGGACCAAACACAACCTAGTCAGTTCCTATTCCGGTATTCAGGCGCACGTTAAACTTGAAAATGGCTGCTTATGAAGCCTTTTGAACACAAGGCGTCCTTGTAGCTCTCTCTTTATTACATTTGATATGGCAGGCCTGATTATTTGTGCACATTTGGAGACTGAATTCAGATCAGATCGTTCGTCATGACCATTGTCAACTGCCTCTCGTCCCGCTTTTGTAGAGTGCAGTACACCTGGCATGTTACCCCTCATGTTGTGATACAGCCATGCTGGTACATATTCGGATATTTTTTAGCAATTAATGCTTTGCGTGTTATTGTTGTATTCCATATACTGTGCGCTTCCAGTGTTTGTTTGTACAAGCCCTCAAATGAACTTTTTGCAAAAAAGTTTCATATGAGGACAACAGTTTAAGTGATGACAGTTTTTCATTGATTTTTCCTTCTGACATTTATGTACATACTAAAGTCTATTGGTTTGATTTTGGCAACAGGCTCTTCGGTTTCCAAGGTAGGCAGGTGAGTTTCCAGGCAGGCGAGTGGAAAGTTGCGTGGCAATGTGCATCGGTGAGTTACCTCTATAGCTGATGTCGTTTTCGCTTTACCACACATTTTACATATTGTTTCCCCTTTATTCCTAACAGACGACGTCCCCATTGTCAACAAAATAGCTAACCATCGACAAAATACGTCAAACGGATGGAGTATCAGTTGACCTCCAGAAGCGGTGTCACTACCTAAACAACTTTCATGTAGGCCTAAACAAAATACAGATGAGAATTTTTTTCACGATATTTCCACAATATTTATAAGAGGCTTCTTTAATCTACTGCATTGATATTTTCCCCACAAAGTGCACAACTAATCGCATTTAAATGTAGAAATCAAAATCCAAATACAATGAATGTATCTCAGTTATTGTCAATGAATATACATGTACTCAAAATATCTCTTAACTACATTTGACGTATGTAGTGTAATTACCGGTGACGAGAGAAAGTGAGGCGGTGAGGCCAAATTTTCGGGTTCCTGTGTACTCCCAAATTTTGGTTTATTGGAGATCTCCACTTCGCTCATGAATGTAGCCAATCTGCCCCTAGCCTAGGGCCTCCAACCCTGCTGGTACAATTCAGCAAATCCACAGGACCATTCCAGGCCCTGAACCTGACGACTACAAAGTTGTCTAGAAGTTTTGGAAAAGATCCAAGGTTGTGGCGCGAACGACCAATTTACACGTATATTCATGGGCACCGGAGCTTAACTGATTGCAACTTAATCGATCTGGACTATTAAATATCTACCCATTTGCATTTATCTATAACTCACATAATCCAGACAATTAACATTTTATAAATGAATGCAATATTAAACCTGGCACTATCTCTCGTGCCCCATAGCATGTCCCAAACACCAGGATTACTACACAGCAACGTACCGAGCGATTCATGGACAACATGAATAGCGCCCTCAAGTGACTACAGCACTTAACAATTAGCAAACACCACAGTAGGATTAGCCACTCCACAGGAGTCAGCAAGGGTAAGATGTGCACTCCAAAAGTCAGCGAGGGTAGGATTTGAGCCTTTGTCACATTTGCTGAAATACAACAGAAGAAGTACAAGGTGTATACATGTACCACTGCACTTTCCTATCACCAGTAATGGTGAACAACAATCTTGGGTACTTGGATTTCCTTCTCGAGTTCATCCTTCTCCACAAAGTAAGAGACAAACACCAGTTTGGTGGCACTCATCCAAGCCTTGTGGAATCTTATATCATCCATTTCAGTGAAGGAGTCATACATCAAGGGTCTCACCTCCCTGACAAGCTTTGAAGCCACCTGTGGCACTGACTGTGAGCAAGAACAGCCTTGCGTCACAGTAATCTCCTGCAATGATTCTGTTGCCATAGAGACAGGACACAATCACACATAAAAAGTCTAGATGGTGTTCCACTCTGATGTCTGTTGTATCGCAAAAACTCCCCACCAGGCCAAACATGCCCAGCTCCCCAAATTTTGACCGAGCTACAAGAAACGGATTACCCCAGTCGAAGTGATACAACACCCGAGAACTGATTTGGAGGGTGTCTTTGTTATCAAAAAGTTTAACATTTGGAAAGGCAAAGGCCTCCATGAGCTGTCCCGATGACAGGCTCCATACTTTCAGTACAGGGTCTGTCTTATGATTGGTACCGATGACAACACCGTCATCAAGATGGCACGACACCAAAAAGTTCATGCCAGTGTGGATTGTATGCAGACGTATGCCACTTTGGGCATCCCATAGGCAAAGTATACTGCCTTTGAAAGCAGCAGCCACTATCTTGTCACGATAGTCTACGTAAACAAGGGGGAAAATTCCTGAGCCATAACATAGGAGGAAACTGGAGGCATCCCCTGACCTAAAGACAAGAATATCATTCTCCATTGCCTGCTTTACCTCAGCATTGTCCTGTGGTTGCTCTTCTTCCTCTACATCACCTCTCTCATATTCACTGCTGTCTTCATCACTCTCTTTATCAACATGACGTTCATCTTCCGGATGGGCCGTGCTAATGATGATTTCCCCGTCAAAGAAGACATGAGTAACCTCCTGTTGATGCTTCCCAAGAGCTCGCAGCTGCTCTCCGGTCTCACTAGAGAAGGTACGGATCCAGCCATCCTTGCATCCAACCACTACAATGCCACTCTTCACCTTCAAGGAAGTGGCACTGTTGCTGGCATTCACTCTGATGGTGTGCTGACATTCTCCTGATGACATGTCCCACATCTTCAGGGAGCCATTTGAGAGACTTGCAGCAAGACAGTCTCCTTCACCATTCAGACTGTTCACAACTAGGTCAGCCGTTTTATTTGGATCCGACCTCTCAGACTCTGGAATGTTGTAATAATATCCTTGACAGCCGGCTGCTCCGAACTCGAAGGAGACAGTGTGGCAACGGTTGTTGATCCAGTTGGCCTCGAGATGCTGCCTCTCATGTACACTTCCTTCCATTTACAGGTTTGGGCTAGCGTAGGCCAGTCGGAACCAGCTACAACTGCTTCAGTCGGGAAGGCAATACCGGTACTGGTGTTGCCCCCCTGCAGAGAAATCGGCACTTCATTGCAAAGATCTTCCGTGGTACCAAAGTGTTCCCATCTCCTACGCCGGCAAAGAGGGCGCCAGAGGGCATCCTGATTGGCCATATCCCTCCAGCATCGATTACAAAGTGCCATGTGGCACAGATCTTGGGCTGAGAGATACTTGAGTATGCCATGGTGCAGTTCTGTTGGTAATTCCAGTAAACATTGAAATGAGGAAGACTCCATCTTGAGAGGGGCTGCGTTTGAAAACAGGAAGAAAAGCCAGCAAACATCAATAAAAAGGTGACAATTATTGAGATACAGTATTTGTTACTGAGCCTTTCAGATCTGTATCGCAGGTATTTTCTATCATATTCAAAAGCAGATGCAGGGAACAGACTGTATCCAGAAGTCTTTTTTTCCCTCCTATATGAGTAAAGACACTATGGCGTCACACATGTATCTAGATAAGCAGATTAAACCCACACGCGACATTAATCCACACTGCCAGTTTGTGGCCCTAATTACAACATGCAATTAGGTGTTACTTCACTTTGTCCAACCTTCCTTCTGAAGGCTTATCATGAGTAACCCTGGCAGACAGTTACAAAATCGCTGTTCCACACTGGCTTGGAATGTTTGAGGTACTAAATTTGTACATTTTGCTGTGAGAACTGGTCCAACATTTCTAGAACAGTTCACAGCTATATGTGCCATATTAAAGCCGCCCATGAACGTCTTGAACAAACGAAGGAGAAAAACATCTCTCCTAAAAAACAGACTTTTTAAAATATACTTCACTTTTTGAAAATTCATGGCACTCCAGGGCTTTTGTAGTTTCACTACATCCGTTAATGTTAATTTACATTCACCTCTGGTTCTGTTATGATGCTATTGGGGGGACATTTGTACATACATGTACATGTATATTGCTACCCAATTGTAGGGTCTGGGCCCTGGGGTTCAAATTCTGGCAGGTGGTTACATTTTGCGACCTTGGACAAGTTACTTCATTCCTCCCCTCTCTGTGCCTCTCACCATTCGGTAGTACATGTACATGTGAACCTTTAAATTTGAGGGTACAGTAGACAAATTATTGTTTTTAGACAATTGTGCCTGGCATGGCAGCATCAGGCTTGTATACTCCTTAAGGGAGCTGAGACATGTACATGTATGATGGTCTCAGGAATGTGCAGATGCTGTGAGCAACTTGAAGGGGAGTGCCACTCAATGTGCATGTACGTACATGTAGCAATAAGTTAGCACCAATGATTTTCTCAGAAATGTTTTGCAGTAAGTAAATTTTTGGTTCACAATTTTAATACAAAAATCTGTGCGGGGAACTGTATTTTCCCTGGATGGCATTACAGCAACATCAGCGCCCTTATTTGTCCAGGAAAGCTCGGATAATCTTACGTGTTTCAAAAATGCAGTTTTCAGTGTACATGTAGTTTACTGAAGAGGAGTGTCAAAGAGAGTTCATCTATTGAGGAGTCAGAAGCTATTTTCAAGATGTATTTTTTTTTACAACTACAAAGCTGCAGAAAAATTGTGTCTTAAGAAAAATTAATTGTGGCTACCCTGTAGGTACTACATGTAGCAACTAAAATCTTTAATTCAAAGACAACCACAGTTAGAGGGTTCTTCTTGCAACCGTACAGCCTAACCCCAGTGTCCTTCAACATTAGCCCCCCCCATTTCTTGCAATGCAAACTTTTGCCCTTGTTCTCACCACTTTTAAAATGGGTAACAGACATTTTGGAGATTCTAGCACAATATTCCTGTAACTCTGACAAAAAGCCATCTCAACACCTACATGTATTTGGCACAAAGCCATTTCTGACTTGGTCCATTAATCCACTTTACTCAGTCATGTGATTACAATTTGGATTTCTTGGTGTCATACGAAAGAAGACATCATGACGAAACTGATGATGGTTACCATTTACCAAAATAATTAGTCACATTCAACATGTTAAAGAAACAAATTTATCTGTTTCCTCTTTATTAAAGACATACGTGTATTATAACGGACTTCTGTTTGTTGTCCCTAAGAAGCACAGTGCCTACTGCCTAAGCATGCCACCAATCATTCCTTCACATTGAAACCAACAGAATTCCACAATGCGTATGTGCCTTCCAGCATCTATCTTCATCAATGGGTCAAAATGGTTAAAGTGAAGAAAATTACTTAAGTGCTGATGGTGGAATGTTATTCTATTCCATTAGAGGTCCTGGTCCATGTGCATATTTCCTACAGTGTTTAACTGCTGCATCACCACAAGGCTGTGGTGAGGGAGAACCCTCCACTGAGCTGGGGTGGAGGCGGTCAACACCTTGCCCAGGGACTTATCGGCTAGCAGATAAGGATGATCCTGAGGTGGAGCTTGGAAGTTTGGGTGAGGAAGTACACCAAACATCAGGATAAAGGACAGAGATCCTGGCCATGAGGTAAAGTCATAAATTCCCCGAGTTCTGTGGAGCAAGGTCCATGGGAAGTCCAGAAGGAGGTCCTGTACAGAGGACTCTTGCATTGGATGGAGGCGCAAAATTTGTTGGGGTGGAGTTGGGTGAGAAAAGGAAGCTAGAGACCCCTTGGCTTCTTACGAAGGACAAGCGGGTACATGACAAGCAGGAGTTTGAGGCTTGTTTCAAACTTCGACAGCAGACAACTAAATATCATGGGAAGACTGCCTGGAGGGACTACCAGCAGCACTTTGAGGCGTGCCAGTTGGCAAATAGCTGGAGCAAGGACCAGTCAGCTGCATTCTTAGCGGCAAGTTTGCAGGGCACGGCCTCAAAAGTTTTGGGCCGTTGCCACCGGGAGGGAAAATTTCCTACTTACGTGGAGCTGTTGAAATTACTGGAGAGCAGTTTGGCCCAGGCCAAATGGCAGAGAATTATCTGATGGAACTCAGGATCCATAGACAAGTCCCTAAGGAATCACTGACAAGCTGTACGGGAGCTCATAGTCCTAGCTTACCCTGAACTTTTGGAGGAAGGCAGGGATAGACTGGCTCGAGGGCATTTTACAGATGCAATAGAGAGCCAGACTATTTGGGAAAGAATTTTCAGGGCGAGACCCAAGACCCTGGATGAGACAATCAGGGCAGCTCTCGCCACTGAGAATTTCGAGTGCATGGATGCGCAGAGGTCCAGTCAGAGAGGACCAAAGCACTGTTGAGCAAGCGAAATTCAGGGTGATCCGTTTGTAGAACAAATAAAACAAGTAGTCCACAAAAACAGATGAGACAATTTCAGGATCAGCTTCCTCCAAGCAAGGCACACAAGGAGTGCGAGGCGAGGAGGCCCTGCACAAACCAAAAGTGAGCCTGTGACAAGGAGGCCAACGAAAGCAATGTTTGTTTCAATTGCGAGGATAAGGGACACTTTGCCCGTGAATGCCCAACCCCGAGGGCCAGGAACCAGGGAAATGGGGAGCAGTTGACCTTAGGACCCGAAGGGAAACCGACTCAACAGCAGGGTCCACAGAAGGACAGAGTGTAAAGAGACAGAAAACTATGCAGGGAAATGAACCCACAGAACTTGAGGCCACATGGCGGCAGCAAGGGCTATTTACAAACGGCACTGTGCGGTCAACCGACATTCAGTTTTTAATTAACACGGGTGCAACGAACAGCATGATTTCTAAGTCAGCCTACTACAAGATTCCAAGGCTTTTCTGCCTTGGAATCTTGTAGTAGGCTGACTTAGAAATCATGCTGATGTTACTGATGAGCGACCTGACAGTTCGGCAGGTAGACGGAACCCCAATGGCCAGCATGTGAGGTTCCACGAGCATTGATGTTCAGGTTGGCTGAACCACAGTTTCTGTTCACGCGACAGTAGCAGATATTGGTGTCCCTGTAATTCTGGGAATTGGCTTCCTTTCCAAGGAAGTTTGGATTTTTGTACCATGGAGCTCACCCTGAATGGGTAGCATATCAAATTGGCAGACCAGTTTGGATCCTAATTTTGTTACAGGGCAGTTGTAGAACAGACTACCAGAATCCCTTTAGGGCACGAGGCAATCATTCCTGCATATGTTAAGGCAGACTCTGACGGAGTGAAGACTGGAGTGATAGAACCCATGGAAGGTGGTGGTGAAGTTACCTCTAGAGGGCTCATACTAGCTTAAACGCTAGTGAGGACTGGTCAGGGACCAATGGTAGTAAGGGTTTTGAACCCAGGCAGAGCAGAATGTGGCCTTCGTAGTGGGACTACGGCGGGAATGCTCACCCCCGTAAAAAAAGAGGAGATAGAGACAGCGCATCCTCTTAAGGCGCCAGAGGAGAAACAGGAGGCAGAGGTACCTCCGCATCTCCAAGACCTTTGGCACCGCAGTGTAGAGAACCTGGAGCCACGCGTCCATGGCGTCGTGGCGAAACTATTGGCAGACTTTGGTGACATCTTCTCTAAGGGAGAAGATGACCTGGGCCGGACAGATCTGGTCTAGCATCAGACAGATACGGGCGGAGCCCATCCGATCAGGCAGAGGCTACATAGACAGCCAGCCTGCACTCAAGAAGAGGTTTCTCGGCTAGTGAAAAGATTACTTGACAGAGGGGTAATTGAGCTGTCCAATAGCCCATGGGCTTCAAACGATATACTAGTGCCAAAGAAGGATGGCACGAAGCGTTTCTGTGTTAACTTAAGGTCTTAACGCAGCGACCATCAGGGTTGCTTACCCGATGCCAAGAATCGATGACAAGCTAGATGTCTTATCCAGGGCGAGGTGATTTTCCACTCTTGACCTTGCCTCCGGATATTGGCAGGTGACACTGGATCAGGAGGTGAAGCAAAAGTCGGCATTCATCACGTGAGGTGGCCTATACCAATGGAAAGTGATGCCCTTTGGCCTTTCTAACGCCCCAGCCACTTTCGAGCAGCTGATGGAGCGAGTAGTGGCTGGCCTTCATTGGGAATGCCTCCTGGTCTACTTGGATGATGAAATACTATACGGGAAAACAGTAGAGGAAGAGACAGATCACTTGAGGGAGGTGTTCATGTGACTCTGCGAGGCAGGTCTCAGGATGAAGCCGGAGAAGTGTTCATTGTATGGAAAGACGGTGAAATTTCTTGGCTATATAGTGTCCGAGGGTGGAATCTCTACAGACCCAGTCAAGATCCAGGCCATAAAGGATTGGCCTACCCTAGCAGATGTCAAGAAAATCGGGGACTTCCTTGGATTGGCCTCCTACTATCAGAGGTTCATCAGAGGGTTTGCAGATATAGCACGGCCACTCCATCACTTGAC